TTCATCTCCGATAGGACATAGTCAAATGAGCACATTCGTGTGAAATGCCTTTCCCCAAATTCGCAACAAAGCTCAAGCCCAGCATTCTCTCAGTTATCCGGCCCACGTTGAAAAAAAGTTTAGTGATTCCTTGTCCCAGATATTTATTGTAAAAGTCTGAGATTACAGTACAGATGCTGGTCTTGGCGTCAGGCCAATGTTTCATAAAGCTAGGAAAGTAACAACGACACTGTGTTCAACATTATCATAATAGGGCTTTTTTTTTTATTGAAGCGGTCCAACAAGATCTGAACATATCACGTCAAAATGTTGATGCAGAGACATAATTTTATAATGATATGTACATAAAAGCAAAACAGACAGTTTGAATACGGGAATGCATTGATAATGTTGGGTTGTAACAATTTTGAAGACAACAATTAATGCAAAATTAAAATAAATAATCCCACTTCATTTATCCCCGTGAGGGGAATTTGGGTTGCAATAGTAATCGTGCATTTATACATATTATAAATAGCTAGAACATACGGGTACTTATACACACAAATGTAGGCCTACCTACGAAGAATATTCTATTAAAGTTACCAATAAAAAGACAATATCCCACAAAAACAGACAATCTTACAAACACACCGTTACTGGTCGCCAGTGAGCAACCCCAGAATTACAAAGTTCTATCAGCTCAGTACATCATCATCATCCAGTGCCAGATCTGCGACAGACATCGGCGATCATGGTTTTCCATTCATTCCTTTGCTCGAGTGCTGTAAAAAAAAAAAAAGCTACGTTTCCCTGATCTTTCCCTGTTACCGATTTGTTTAGGTTCCCTAAATATGTTGTTCTGGGCCTACCCCTGCCTCGCTTGCCCTCAATTTTGCCAGTGAAGGCTAGGAGTTCAAGACCCTTATGTCCCAAAACTGCATTTGTCGTTTCCTGATTGTTTTTAATATTGAGCGTCCCACGTGGGCTTCATCAAGCACTACCTCATTTGATTTCTTTTCCTTCCACGATACTCTTAGCAATCTCCTAAGAAACCACATTTCTGTTGCTTCTATTTTATTTTCACTGGCTTTAGTGTACATGTGCCTAGTTTTGAGAAATTTGACGCCAAAGATTTTGATTTTCACATCATGTCAATATCTTTCGAAAGCATATCTTTGAATATAATCTTGATTAACGACTTCGGGTAATTTTACGATTTTGATAGAGTCAATAGAACATTCTGTTGTTGTTGGGGTTTTTTTTATCTAATGGTCTTAGTAACTCAAAACGGCCAAAAATGTGAGATAGAACTGTATAATTCTGAGGTAGCGGTACCCAGCGACCTGTATTTGAGCCAGAGTGACTGTGTCTTGCTCAAGTTAATACACTCCAATGTCCACCCGCCTAAACGGAGTGTCACCGTCTTTTGCTTGACAGTAATGAGAGTCGAAACTCACTAACTAATCACTTGGTCATTTTATGAATATTAATTAAGAGCATAATACTCAAATTGATACACGAAAAAATTTACACGAATGTGACCCAAAAAATCAATTTGAGGGAGTGGATAACACGAACTGTGATGGTGGAGGTATTTGGGATGAAGATACTGGCAGCAACAATAGCGACAACGACTACACCAACGATGATGATGATGATGATGATAACAGTGATGATGATGATGATGATAATAGTGATAGTTCTTGATGAAGCCCAAACGTTGAACCGTTAAAAAAATACTATGATATTCCCCAGGAAAATCAAAGTCTCCATAACAATATCATGTTTTCTTATACTATGAAACAATTATGAGGATGATTAAGATGTTGGTGGTGGTGGTGGTTGTGATGGTAATAATGGGATGATGATGATGATGATGATGATGATGATGATGATGATGATGATGATGATGATGATGATGATGATGATGATGATGATGATGATGATGGCAGTTGTAGGTTGCCTCCCATAATGATAATACGCGAAAAAAACAACAACCACCAAGACCCAGAAAGCGATGTCCACTTGTGTCCTTTAATTTGGGACAGGAGGTTTTCTGTTTGTTTGTTTGTGTGTTCATTTGAGTGCTTGTTTGTTTAGGAGGGTGGGGGGTTGGTTGTTTTTTAGGGGAGGGTATGGCTCTTTACTTCTTATCTTGTGTCATTTCAGAGATGGACGTCCTATTCGGAGTTCCTGTCTCTTAAATAAACTTCCATTTGCAGTGTTGAAAAGGACGTTTAACTCATACTCATATCACATATTAACACGCTAGAGACGTACGCCTCCTCCTCTTTGACCGTCTTGGAAATCACGAGATGTAGTTCAATCTGTCTCCGGGGTTTTATGCATTCCGCATAATGTAGCAAAATTTGATTATTTTTTTGTGTGTGCATAATTTCTTATTTTTTCCCTTATCATTCTATGCTAAAATTAACAGAATCGTATAATTTCACATTTTAGGGCTCAGTTTGCATAATTTCAGATTTTAAAATTATTTTTTTTGCATAAAACCACGGGGACAGGTAGTTAGAAGTGTCTCCAATTGGACTTTTTGACAAATGTAAGCGTATTTTACGCACCCCCCCCCCCAAAAAAAACAACAACAAAACAACAACAACAACAACAACAACAACAAAAACGAAAAAACGAAAAAAAAAAAGAAAAATCGACACAATTCACAATTGTTTCGATAATTTAAGAGGTGGGCTTCTTCCCTGCCAGTCAGAGCAAACTCAGAATGAGAAGGATATAACGTCCAATGCAGCAGAAAGAGCGAGATACTCGATAAAAAAAATTCTCCCCGCACGTGAATCGAACGAGTGTCTCCCGTGTGTGACGTGACGTGCCTAACCGCTATGCTATGCCATAAGCACCGGTCAACTGAACGTTTAACGCCAATGTCATTTTTGATAACTTCGAGTTGTCCTCCGCTGCACCGTATCTAATATTAATAGTAATATGGTAAAATCGGTAGAAGGAGATTTGAATGTGTGTGTCTG